TGAAATGTTCTCTGCCAAATATTGTTTAAGTGGACCTATTGAGTGAATTTAGTCAACTGGTGAGGTTCCTTAAAGAACAAGTACGCATTTAGCGACCATAGTTTCACACACCTTGCAGCCGCAAGGTGGCAGGATTCGATGTCCCGTGGACAGAAATCTTGAATATTTTTTAACTTCCCACATTGAATATGTTGTTCATTTTTGGACAATGTGGTGATAGTTTTAAATAAAATATGTTTCTGGAAAGAGATGTAGGGGTCAGCGAACGTCCAAGATCGTTAAACCCAGGCAAATTTATTGCAATGGCCATCTGCCCAATCATTGTTCATTTTGTTAGTTAGCGCAGGCATTGATGCGTGACATGGCCTGTGGATTTGCGTACGCAGTAAGGATGCACACAAACAATTAGCGCGAACGTCCTTATTATAGTTATATCTCGTTTATATAGCGAGTGTCGTAAAGCCAAAACCAGTGTAATCACTCTGGCCAGTCACAAAGGACACAGACAATCCAATGAACCAATCAAAACTCGTAGTAAATACTTGAAGCTGGCGCAAAGCGCGGGAAAACGCGATCAAGCGAGTTGTGATTGGTTCTGGTTTTACTTCCGATTGAATAAAAAGTGTCGTGTGTTTTTTTAAGCCAATTGTGAAGCGTAAAAATGCAAACCAATTACTTTTCGACATTCAAGTGAATAACCACTCTATGGCCAAAGCTCTGACTTAGAATGTTTTCATTGCATGTGTTTCATATAAAATGACCTCTTACTATCATTTTGCTTTTTGTTAGATTTCAAATATTGGGAGGATGCTGCTGACGAGTTTAAAGACCAAGAGGGCACTCTGCTACCGCTGTGGAAATTCTCTTGTGAGAAATCAAAAAGAATGTCTGTTACCACTCTTTGCTGGTATGTATAGGAGATGTTCCCTTTCAAAACTTGCAGAATTTACAGGTGGTAACAGAGCTAATGAGCTCATGTATTCTTTGTTAAAGTTTGGCTTTTTAAACCTGCGTCGCTTCTGATCTGATTTGAAGCCTGTCTACTCCATTTCGGAGCATGGGCCACTGGAAAAATATTCCACGCGGCAATGATCGTGTGGTGTTTTTGAGAAAGAATCGATGTGGTAGACTTTCGTTGTTAGTGGCTTTCCTTACCTTTTAAGCTCCTTCAGATTCCTTCATCACAGTTGGTGTTTCTTCGGTGCTTCGTCTGTGTTTCTGCAATAATGATTTTTTTTCTAGCTGGGGTTGTAAGCCCCACGCTAAACCCCCATAAGCCCGGAGAACCGGTGTATATTCTGTGACGGTTTATCCCCTTAGCTAGCCACGGGTTCTGGTTATTAAGGTGCCTGAGTCTCGCCTTTCACCGTTGCCACTCAGCTGCAGCACTTAGTACTACATCACTGGAGTTACCACCAGGATGCGTGACATCTGTTTTG